CGTTTTTACATATAACAGGGTTGGATAAGAAAACACGTGTTTAAATAGAACACAGCAGTTTAGAAAACACGTTTTTACATATATAACAGGGTGGATAAGAAAACACGTGTTTACATAGAACAGAGTGGTTTAGGAAACACGTTTTTACATATAACAGGGTGGATAAGAAAACACGTGTTTACATAGAACAGAGTGGTTTAGAAAACACGTGTTTGCGTGGAACAGGGTGGGTTGAAAACACGTGTTTGCATGGAACAGGGTGGATGAGAAAACACGTGTTTTCCTTGATATTACGTCTAAATATCTATTTTACATCTTGATTTTGTTAGAAAAAAAACCAGACCACATTCTAAAAATCACAGAATCTATCAAAAATTTATTGATTTTAAATTTGTCACTCTTATTCATTGTTTTATTTGGATTCCTGTGTATTGCATGAGACGGATTGATGAGACGTTACTCTCTAGAAATATCGAGATTTAAGGAACTGGAATTATATTCTAGTCTACACATTTTATGGTCTAGACAATATATGTTTTAGGAACTCAAGAAATTGTATTCCTCGGTATTTGGGGCATTCTTTTTCTTATTTTATAAAAACCCCATATTTTTGTAATTTTTTAGGGACCTTCCTTAAAAAAAATAAGAGGCCCCTGGAACCATTATGTAATTTTAAATGTGAAAAAAATCGTCTTTTAATCAATAATAAAAGTGTTGAAATCTGTAAGTCACATAAATAGAGAAACGTCAACTAAGAATAATTGATTTTCAAAGTAAAAAACATTGATATCTCATTTATTCTTAATCATACCGTTGTAAATTGGACTCGGGAGGGTCACTTGAAATTACGTTTACAGTTAGTTCCTTTGAAAGAGTTTTCAAATTAGCCCTGCTATGGATTTAAATAAATGAAAAAATGTAACTGGACAATTTTACGGTTTATGATAGTTTCTCTCAGTTTTGGAATTATATCATGGTTTTTATTACTCTAGGTTTTATTTTAAAAAGAGTTTGTGTGATGGTTTGTGTTTATATTGTGTGTTTTCAATCCCTCACCCCGGACTAACCAGGCCGAGATTCATTCGGTTTCCTCTACATGAATTCACTACCTTGTTGACCCATAATTCAACAATTTTAAACTTACGTATAGTTCACTTTCTCTTCTTTTCTGCTAAACATGTATAGCCTGACAAAAAAGTAAGAAAGTGAAAAGGCAAAAAAATATGTATAATAGGTAAAATTGTGATCGAAAGTCCCAGTTCTCTGGGATAAGGACCGAACTGTTAAATCCGCCTGCCTGGATTGTTAAACAGTAAGAACGTAAAAATATGTTTGATATTTACAAAGTATTTATTAAGAAACAGTCACACAGGGCATTCACCCTGTCAATTCATTTCAGAACTCTCATATCTAGTTTAATTCAATAGTTTACACATTTCTAGATATTTTACAATATTCTAGATATTTTACATTATTCTAGATATTTTACATTATTCTAGATATTTTACAATATTCTAGATATTTTAAATGTTCTAGATATTTTACAATATTCTAGATATTTCACAATATTTAGATATTTTACAATTTTCTAGAACTTGATATATTATAATAATTTGAAATTTTTAGATATATCAAAATTTTCTAAAATATTCTAGATAATTTTAAATTATCTATAACTTCTAGATATTTTTACCATATTCTAGAGTTTTTAGATATTTACAATATTCTAGAGATTCAGAATATTTCATATTCTTTAACTTCTAGATATTTTACAATATTCTATAACTTCTAGATATTTTACAATATTCTATAACTTCTAGACATTTTACAATATTCTATAACTTCTAGACATTTTACAATATTCTATAATTTCTAGATGTTTTACAATATTCTTTGACTTCCAGATATTTTACAATATTCTTTAACTTTTAGAATTTTTTTCAATATTCTAGTGTTTCTAGATGTTTACAAATTCTAGAACTTCTATATATTTGATAATATTTAAGAACTTTTTAATACTTCACATTATTCTAGAGTTCTAGATTTTTTACAATTTTCTAGAGTTTATAGATCTTTACAATATTTCATAGTTTCTAGATATTTTAATATAATCTAGAGTACCCAGATATTTTACAATATTCTAGAGTTTCAAGATATTTTTTCCAATTTTCTAGTGTTTCTAGATATATCACAATATTCTAGTGTTTCTAGATATTTTACGATATTCTAGAGTTTCTAGATATTTTCCAATTTTCTAGAAAAAAAAAATTTGTTGA